GACGCTTCGCCATTTCGGCGGATTCGGGTGGCCGCTTGCTCGTTTGCCACCTTATGTTATAAAAAAAGACACCTCTTTAGGGTGTTATGCCCCTTCAGTGGGGTCGTATAGTGAGCTGATGTTGATGATGTGTGCAGGACATCTTCGTGCACCTGTGCACGGTGGACGACTCGCTGTATGTGATGTGCAACACGGAGGCGTTCAAATTCCTGGCGGAGATGATCCAGCACGTGCCGCTGCCGCTGCGCGCGCGCTACGTCTTCTGCTGCGCGCCCATCAACAGCAAGCTGCCCTTCCTCTGCGCCACATTCCTCAAGGTCGACACGTACACGTACACGCCAGGGGTTCCCAACCTCTTGGTCAGGGACCACTTTTATATTGTTAGCAGGGAATACTATGTATTGTTCCGTGAAGATCTCAGAACCTATTGCACTAGAGTCTGGCCACCGAGGGGATTTTAGTGGGCACAAACCTCACATAATCCTGTCCTTCTCCATGATACAAAATAAATGTAAAAAAATGATCAAAACCATTCAAAGTTACTTTTTGCTTAGCTTTGCAAATTTTTTGCCCTTACAAATTTTGTCAATATAAAAAAAATACTTTTTCGCTAATCGTTCATGCTAGTAATAACATTAATTTATGCTCGTATCTTTTAAATCTTTGAGTATTGTCTGTCTATAAGTTTGTTACGCGAAAGTTGTCAAAACTCGGTTTTAGTTATTTTTCCCGACTCACTATCAAAAAAAAATCTGAACCATTTTTTGGCTTTTGAGGACCACTGGTTGGGAACCACTGATATATAACCATGCTTTTTGAATACAACTTTACAGTTCACTGAGGAATACAAATATTAAATTGAAAATGTGTTACAGATAGTCCGTCAGTACAGCCGCAATGAGCCGATCACGAAGTCGTGGCTGAGCAACGCGGTGGACTGGCCCGTGCCCTCGCCCAAGACCATCATGGACCTCGTGCACTTGGAGGCGGTCTTTGATGTGCTGGAATTATATCTATGGCTCAGGTAACCGACTATCGAAGCTATTCTATAAACTACACCAGGGGTGGCGAACTATTGGGACGCGAGCCATATGGTAAACGACATATTTTAGACTCATTGATAATAATAAAAACGCTACCAAAAAAAAATGAAGTAGGTGTAACATGGAAATAATGTAATAATAGTCAAAATTATTCGATGGCCCGTCTTAGCATTAAATATTTATTAAAAAAATGGCACTTTGTTGCATAAACATTCGTCACCCCTGGTCTAGACTTAAAATAAGTTAAAATAAATTTTTTTTTATTGTTTTTACAATATGTTTAATTTTTCGTATTGACTAATTTTATAAAATTGCCTTTATAAGATTTAATTCCATCCTTATTCTGATTTATTTCGCAATTTCCACAATGCTACATTTTCTGTAAATGTAAAAAGATACTGTTTTTTTTCTAAATCATGATTTGTAGTAAGTAATAATTTTTATTAATACATATTGTAGTGAATTTTATTAGGTTATCCTAAAAATAATTTCTTCCAACAGTTACCGATTCCCTGATATGTTCCCTGATGTGAAATTGGTTCGTGAAATGGAAATAGAGTTGGACTCTATCATACAACAAGGAATCTTTCAAATAACAAGGTATTTATATTGATTATAACACTGCACTCGAGATCTCGTCACTCGACAGGAATGCGCGCGAATATTCCAATCCTCCTAATGACATTGACAGCTGTCAGTTAGAGATGTGACGTTTATGGCAATAATCTAGTGTTGCACCAATTCTATAGAGTGGTACTAATTTTCTTAACAATACTAATATAATAAAGCGTAAACACAGTTAATCTTCTCTCAATAAAAAGCACTACACGACACGAGCCCTAGACTTTGTATTTTCACGCTATCACACTTAGGAGGTAAATAAAATGGAAAAAACGGTCATACGAGATAGGGACAAAAACTACAAACCAAAGCCGTAGAAAAGCAGGGTTGCCATGGTGACGGTACTTGTTAGTTAATGAATTTTGACATTTGCAATCGAAAGTTTTACTATTGTAAACAATAAAATAAAGTTTTAATAATTTCTTGTAGATGTCTCGTGCGGGAATATGTAGTTATCAAATAAAACTTTAGTAACTAAATTTTTATTCCATTAGTATATTATTATTTTTGCTTATAGATTATTAAGAAATTCAGAACAAGTATTAAAGGACAGCCCTTCAAGTGAGGAGACATATGGACGAGGGAAGAAGTCAACGAGATCACATTTGC